CCGATTTCTGCTCATATACTTTAGGTGATTCTGGTTTTCTCATTTTTCCAATTTGTACACCACCCCCTTCTCTACCACCATTTTTAATTAATTTTTATTTACTTATTTTTTTTTTTAATTTTCTTGGTGGGACAAATAGGGTACAACCAGTAGTACATGTGTATTCGTATCCTTGCAGTATCCATCTGAGCAATAAAATTGCATATTCCGTATATCCATCCATGGAGAGAGAGAGAGAGAGATTTGGGAGGGGAGAGAGAATGATGTAGTGAAGGAATAGCGTGGGTTTGATTGGGGGGCTCATTAACCTTTGCGTCTGCAACTGGGTTCCCCCTCCCATAAGAGATGACGGATCTCTGGAAATCCTGCAATAGAAACGGCGATTGTAGCAGTAATTGTAGTGCCATCTTCCCCTTCCGCCCTCCTCCAATTTCTCTTATCATCAGCAGTAGAAACAGTGTCTCTGATTTTACTAGTAGCTTCTATTCATACCCAGCTTCCTTCTCCCCCCTTTCTTGTTGTTTCTGCTCCATGGCTTCATTCTCTCCCTCCATTTACTCTCTTCTCATCAGTTCTTCTTACTCTTCATCAGTGTCTTGAGCAAAAGAGGACACCCAGCAGTTATTTTTACTTATAGTCTAATTCCATCGCCTTTTTTCTTTATTTCTCAAAAGGTTGAATGTTTTAGGCATTTTTAGTGCAAGAAAGATGTTTGCTTCATTGCCTGGGTTGACTCATCGCCCCATTTTCATGGGTTCTCTGGGAAACTTCAGCAGGTATCTTTCTGTCTCTTTCTGGTTGTTTTTGGATTTTACTTTCAAGAATTGTATGGGTTTTGAATGAATTGCATTTTAGATGAGGGGTTGGTGTTGTTTGGTGGGTTATTATTAATTTTTCCATTCAATGATGTAAGAAAAGCGTGGGTTTATTATTACCAATATCCCATTTGTTCCTTACGATCACCAGGTATGATTGTGATGGTCATCTTGGATGTTGGATTGGGAATGAAAATCAGAAGAAGTTGAACAATAAAGGAGCCGTGAAGGCACCCAAGAACGGGAGGTCGGGGGTTTCCCCTCGCGCTGCTGCTTCCGGTCTCACTCAAACTCCAAATTCATCCACAGCCCAGTTTTATCAGGAGGTTTACCTTTACCCCCTTATGTTTTCTCGTATTATTTCCTATGATCTTCTGTGTATTTAATGGTCTATCGTTTCATGGTTTGATGAACTGAAGTTTTGATTATAATGGCAGCTTTCAAGAGATGCCAGGGATAAGTTTGCTAGGGAGATATCTTTCCAATTGAAGGACAAAGATATATCACTAGCAAAGGTATTCTGCCTTTTTCATCTAGTTTAGGGGTAGTTGGCCAGTTCAGTTTGGTCATGAGCATTTCATGAATAACAAAACTGCTCTTTATTTCCTTCTTTTTGAAACACTCTTTATTTCTTTTTTGACTCCATGTTTTCTTGTTATCAACTTGTTCAAGTTTGATCAGTCTGAGGTAGTTGACAATTTAATCGGTTTATATAATTTACATTGACTAATACCTCCTCCCCACGGCCAAATCTGGCCTTATCTTCATCTCTCTCTCCCCCCCTCTCTCTTCCCCCCTTTTTTTCTGGTTTCTTCGCTTCCTTTCTCGACCAGATCTGGCCATATGCTCTCTTCCCGCTCCACCTTCTTCTTGTTCACATGTCCACGGAATTAGACTAAGTTTGTTAATGTGTGAAACGCATAAACTATCTGCGCTTCTTTAATTAATGAAGTAGCAGTTAGTCAAACAATGCAACTTTCGACGTTGAGCCGGGGGTCTCTTTGGAAACAGCCTCTCTACTTTCGAGTAGGGGCAAGGTCTGCATACACACACCCTCCCCAGACCCTACTCTTGTGGGATTTAACTGGGTTGTTGTTGTTATTATAAAATTACAGTAGATCGAACTAGAAAATAATACATTTTTTAAAGTGTATCTTTTTTCAGATAGAAATTTTTTTGTGAGATGAAAGAAGTATTGAATTTCTTGGTGTAGATAGAAATTGATAATCAAGAAAAATATGTGGTGTACATAGGGTACAATTTGGTGTACCAATAAATAGAACAAGATTTTTTTGAGAAATAAAGCAAACTAATATATTACACAGTAATATAATAGCAATGTAACGTATGAAATAACAATTCAATTTTTTTTTGTTTTTTGAAAAGGTTTTTTTTTTGCTTTTACGGAAGTGGCCAAGAAGAGATTGGGGGCAACCAATTTTTTTTATGGGGGCATCACTTTTATTTCATTAAAAGAATAAAGATACTCAATGTACTAATAAATTTTTTTCTTAAACTCACTGGGGGCAAGTGCCCCCATTCCTTTAAACATAGATCCGCCCCTGTGTTTGGGTGGATGGTTTTGGAGGGCTTCATCTGTATTTTGGTATGTATTTTTGAATTTTTTTAGAAGTGAAAGATAAACCTCATATGTTTTCGAATAGCATTTCAATTGCCTTTTATCCGTCCTTTGGAACTATCTATCAATATATAAACTAAGTAAGCCCTCAAAAGCCTTTACCTTCAAACCTCTCCAAAACCCTCAATCCACACTAATCTTCCGAAGTCAGCATTTGGTTGATTTAAGATCATTTTTTTCATTATAAAGATTTATGTTGCTACTATGTTTTTATACGGTATTTGACTGTTTCTAGTTTAACTGTGTAGGCTTTGCTTTATGTTGGTGCTGAAGACGAGTCATTCATAGCATTCAACCACGAGAAGGATGCCTTTTCTCTCCAAAGCGAAAGAAGAACCAATCTGTCTCCATCCGATGCTCCAGCTTGGACGGATGTGGAAGCTATGCCACTAGCTGGAAAAAGGATGAATGATTGGTTGGGAGAATTTGATGTTATTGCTGGTGAGGTTGAGGCAGAGCTAGTCTCCAGAGAGCTAGGATGTGATTTGGTTGAGGTTTTGGATGCAGTGAACACTGTTGTTTTCAACTCGAGAGGGTTCAGAAGGTCACGTGCATTGGTAGATTCGAAGTGCTCATACTTGCACTCAGCGTTATCCTCCGGATCTTGTAGTGGTATATCTTTCTTTCCTGACATTCTTTTAAGCATTTAATAGGAATTCTAGGGTTAAGGTCGCGTGCGCAACCCTCTCAAGATCCCTACTGAGACTGTTGTTGTGTAATAGGAATCTTGGATTACTTCCATCTAACTCCACAGAAATTTGGTCAAATTGAAATGATTAAATGGCCTTCGAAGTTTTCAAAAAGTGCAAATTAGTGCCTTGAACACGCCTTTTAGCACTGAGAGATTGTGGTAGATATGATGATACTAATTAGTAATTGCCAACAAGAAAATATATTAAAAATATCGAGGGTCACTGAAAATGTACTAGTCAAGGGGCTTACTTGTAGTTTTCAAAAACACTGAGAGTCAATTGGTAATTTGACCTGAGCCGAGGTAGATGTAATTTACAATATTTTCTAATTGTTGCATTTGATGCTTCTGATGCATGATTTACATCGTGAACAGCAATTTTGTTTAGTGTTATTTACATTGAAGTTTGCCAAAGACTGAATCTGAAAATTGTGGGTTCCCGAGTTGGGGAAGATTTTCTTATATGGCCCCAAACAGCAAACCCTGAGGTATATATGTGCTTCTTTTGAACTATGTCAACAATGCCCCAGATAATGTTTACCAAACCTTCTACTCTTGTCAAATTCAAGGAGCTATTCAAGATAACTTCTGGGCACAGCTTGTTTGGTATTGTCAATGGAAAATGTGTGGAGGATCCTCGATCAAAGGCATCAGACATTAACAGCCATTCACTTTCTGGGCTTGAGATTGCGACGAACCGTGATATAATTGGGATTGCTTTGGCCAATTTGATTGTAAGCTTTAACGCCTGTAAAACCCCCCAACCCCTCTAAGACCCTCCATCCAAACCCACCCTTAGTGTATGAATCCATTTGATTTTTAGTTTGTTGGATGCTTCTGCTTAAAGGGGTTTGTCATATTATTGCAGAGGCTTCACTGGAAACGTGCTTCAAGAGCAAATCACGGATTGATGCTTACTTCTCCACTTAGATCTGTTCACAGTCCTGATGATAAATTTAGCAAGATTGATGCCTCAAACTTCCCTTTGTTGAGGCCTCAGGATTTGAGGTAATCATCTTTATTTGTCATCACTTTGTGCACGATTATCTAGAATTGCTCCCCGTTCCTGATTAAATAGGCCTTGTGTTGTCCCTTACAGGTTCAAGATGCTAAGTTGCAACATTGGCATGAGAAAGGGAGAATTATGAATTTCGGACGCATAACATTGTGTCTCAAGGATTTAAAAATTAATATATTAAAAAAGAAGACATGCGTCACACTTTTAACGTGATCTTAAATAAATGCTAAGCATAAGCGCGAAATCATGAATACTTTCCCCATCTTTATTCTCTACAACCCATCATTATCCCCATCTTTTTTTGCTATAACTATAAATTTTGAAACTTTAAATATATTCAATACTTTTATTATTATAATAATATATATGAATTTGCTTATACTAATGCAGCTCATAAACTTGTTCCATTATCTGGTGATTCTTTCATTTTAGTGAAATGGTTGCTAACCCAACAACCACTATAAAGCCTCTTAAGAAAAGTCATACCCTGCTTTTAAGTGTTCTTTTTTTAAAGCATGAAAAAATGGTGAAGTACACTGGGTTTGTCTTTATCATAGCCACATGCAGTATATCTATAATTTGACTATGCATATAGGCAAACAAATCTAAAGGATAGTCTTTTTGTGTGCCAGTGTGACCGAAATCTGGTTCAGAATGGTAAACACTACCCTTCTTTGGGATTATTCTCATTTATCTTTTAATACAAGTCTACAAAAGACTGAAATTGTCCCTGCTCCTAGTGTGTTCATAAGAAACTGCCTTATGCCAGAATGGCTTGTATGAAAAAATAATGATAGTAATGATGATGATGATGATGATGATGATGATGATGATGATGCCCAGAGATGGTTTAGTTTGAAAATGGCTTTTCTTACAATGACATTCATTTCTAGGCTGGCAATAATGGCTTCAGAAAGATTGCTGATTCTGCAGCCACACAACTGGGCTCTGAGAAGAGACTATGGCATGATGATGTACTATGCCAGGTACACGGTTCATTCGTTTTCCATTTGTTCGCTCCCAAATTTGAATTTAAAAAAAAAATGACTAAAAAATAATCTTGGAAATGAAACGTGTCGCAGGGAATATGGGGAGGCTGTCCAGGAGCTAAGCATTTGCATGGCTTTTGCCCCAGAAGAGGAAGCACAAGTTCTGGAACCATTTGTTGAGAAGCTGCACCTGCTGCAGGTCGAATCGTCTTGGAAGTCGTTTGGGGCGTGCGTACAGACCGGTTAACTCTTAACACAACTCCCTTGAACATACATGTTCTTAATTGATGTTGTAATCATTGTTATTGTTATTGTTACTGGCTGGCTTTAACCATGCTTCTGTAAACCTATTATTGTACTCCATGCCATCAAGCCTTACCTTAACTTGTTTTAATTAATCTTTCACTAGGGAGAAGAGAGAAAAAAAACCTTTGTATATATGTGTATTTCTCATCTCCTATCTTTCCATTTCTTATGTTCCATTTGAAGTGTGGTGCACCTATGTTTTGGTAAATTTGAAATGGTAACCTAATTTATGATGAAATAGGTTAATATGAGTGAATATGTTATGATACTGTTGAGATAATACTTTGCCTATTTAAATGGACTTTGCTGTTATCTTTTTTGGGTTGGAGTTACAACAACATTACTCCAGTACCTCAAAGGCTTGGACGTACGCAACTTAATTCTTATGTTTAAAACATAGACTGACGGTTTCCAGACTAACTTCACTATTGAAAAACAATTGCAAACAGTTTAAAGAGTTAACAACAACCCAGTTAAATCCCACAAGAGTAGGGTCTGGGGAGGGTGTGTGTACGCAGACCTTACCCCTACTCGAAAGTAGAGAGGCTGTTTCCAAAGAGACCCCCGGCTCAACGTCGAAAGTTGCATTGCTTGACTAACTGCTACTTCATTAATTAAAGAAGCGCGGACATTTTAGAAATCCATTTTGATTTATTCCATCACACCCAAAGCCAAAAAATGGTGAAATTTTGGCTCCATCGGAGATGATGGAAATAAACAGTTTAAAGAGTTATTTTGTTGGCAAAATTCACAAGAATACTCCCAGAAATTACAGGTTTTACATAAATACTCCCAAATTTGTTTATTTACACAGTTACTCCCACATTTGTCTATTATTTACGTCATTACTCCGCAATTGCGTCATCATCAGTGTTCTTCGGGTGCGTCTTTTTATACGAGATTCTTCATCTTTTTTTATTGAATTCAAATAAAATTAATATGAACAGACTTGGCCTTCAAAAAAAATATGAACAGACTTGATATTAAACATTAAAAAGATTTAGGAAGTTTGAAATTTGAATTTTTTTAAAAAAAGTGATGGGAAATAAGGGCAATGGTTAGGCTTACTAAGACGTGAGAAAGACGATGGAGAGAATAAGTTGAGGTGAATTTGGTATATTAGAGCGAAAAAAATACATGTCTGCATTTTAACTACTCACTTAGCGCAAAAAAGACACATCTAAGTAACACTAATGATCACTACCAAATTTGGGAGTAATGATGTAAATAAAAGAAAAATGTGGGAATAATGGGGTAAATAAACAAATTTGGGAGTATTTATGTAAAATCTGTAATTTCTGGGAGTATTCTTGTCAATTTTGCCTATTTTGTTTTATTCAATTATACCCCAAGTCAAAAGATAATGAATCTTTGGTTCAATGGGAGATGATGGAAAAGACACACGAGGAACATATATAGAAATGTCTCTAAACATGAGTAGAATATTGATATAGTATAAAATTATAAATATTACGTCCTTCATTCCCTAAGATCTTCTCATTTTGATTTTTTATAGTTTTTAAGAGAGTTGAAAAAAAGTAAAAGTTTACTATAATATCCTTAATGAAAATGATTGAAGTGTATTAAATGAAGTGGGTGAGGTGTACTAAACAAAGTAAGTTGAGATAGTTGTGTTATTTTAATTGTTAAAAAAGGTAATGAGAAAATCTATGGTGGACAAATAAAAAGGGCTAATGGGAAGATCTATGGGAGACAGAGGAAGTATTATGTACATCGTAGAATCTAACTCTTTTTTATAACATAATGAGAATTACGATGTAAACAACGATGATTAATTCTCGTTACTGATGACAAGTGATGTAACATTGTCAGTGGCACACATTTTCATCAGAGTCTGGCAATGGATCAACAAATGTTAATTTTCAAATATAATGTTCATTCTAAAGTCTGGTCAACATATTATTAAATCTAAAATAATGTAGTATTTATTTTGAAACTACTTATTATTCATTCAAAAACATTTTTTTTTATTATAAATGGGACATAAAGATAAAAGTAAATTTACCTCTACTATAGAATTTGACCAATACTCTCTCCATTAACCCGTCTTTAATTACTCCTTTACCCCCGGTCCAAACACGCATTTACCTTTTTTACTCCCATTAATTAACGTGCTTTACCTGCTTCTCATTCCCGTAGATTTTCGTCCATCTCACATGGGCTGCGCTTCCGCTGCTTTCTCCGCCGGCATTTACCGTCCACCTAAAACCCCGACCTCTTCCGCCGCCAACGTTTCCCCGTTTCTCTTTCCCGCCACTTTGACCAGCTTTCACCAGCCGCGAAGAACCTATCTTCCCTCCTTGTTTATCCGGAGCTCTGGCCGCACACTTCTTCCACCGTTCGCAGCCTCCACTGACAACAGCGGGGTAAATAATAACGACGGAGAAGGCGGAAATGGAGGCGGCGGAGGCGGAGGCGGCAATTGGTGGAACGATTTCTTCAATTTTGATAAGATGCATTTCCTTCTCCCGTGTTGTTGGGTCTTCGCAAATGAAAGTGATGCTTTTGCGTCTATCACTTCTTGTAAGCCATTAATACTATTACTGGTTTCCGTATCGTCTTCCATCACCTGTTGCTTGGTATTAGCTTCACTGGTACAAGCTCAGACTAACGGTGAAGAGACTGAGGTTTTGTCTGAAATTCGAGGTGGAAGGAGGGTTGAACTCGTAGCAGATTACTCTAAAGATGAATTTGTTATTCGAAAAAGAGCATTTCCTTGGCTTCAGTCAGGATCAAATTTAAAATATCCATCTTTTAGGGATTTTACCATTGATTTGTGGATGTGCTGTAGGAACCTAGCCATGAATTTGATGTTGCCAGAGGGATATCCTGAGAGTGTAACCAGTGATTACTTGGAATACTCTCTTTGGAGAGGGGTTCAAGGCGTTGCTGCTCAGATTAGCGGCGTTTTGGCCACACAGGTAACCTTGTTTCTATTAGTTATTGTCATTAGTTTTCTTTGTCTAACACAGAATCTGGAAACATGTCTTGTTGTTTAGCTCCATATCTAGAAATAGAAATGCTTTTGGTATGAATGATCATTGAACAACATGCAAGAAGCATAAACAAGGACAGATCAATTTTTAATGCGTGTCATGGAAAAATAGCATCACAAATTGTTTTCAAGATAGACAATGCCTTCATTTTGGCTAATTGAGAACCTTATATAAGTAAACATCAATCAGTTCTGAATGTTTTTGTGATGATTTGGTTTTGGAAATTATTGATGTTTGAAAGGTTAATGTTGAGACTTTTTTTGGGGTATGATAGGCTTTGCTTTATGCTGTCGGATTGGGTAAAGGAGCCATTCCTACTGCTGCGGCTGTAAATTGGGTGCTTAAGGATGGAATTGGGTATCTTAGCAAGATTCTATTGTCAAATTATGGCAGAAATTTTGATGTCAATCTTAAAGGTTGGAGGTTGTTTGCTGACCTCATGGAGAATGCTGCTTTTGGACTGGAGATACTGACTCCAGCGTTCCCCCATCTGTTTGTTCCTATTGGTGCGGTTGCTGGAGCAGGGCGATCAGCGTCTGCGCTAATACAGGTAAGTTGTAGAACATATGAGCTCTATTTTGTGAATACCATCATCTAAAAACTACTCCGTATTTGCTAAGTTTGGACTTGTGAATCTCCCTGGTGTGGTATACCATAATCCTCGGGGCTTTTAGAAAACATTGCTGAATGCTTTATTTTTCTTGATTGTGTCTGAGTTCATCCATGCTTAAGGCTTATGTTAGGCTGTAGGATTGGATTGGTTATAAACAGTAATGGACGATGCGAAAGATTGTTTTTGAGCACAGAGATGCAATCGAGTGAACATTTATATATTTTGTGATTAAAATACAGGAAGCAAAATTCCTGCAGGTATTTTATGCAGAGCATAAACCAATATGGTGATAATGTAATGCATTGCGTACCCTGCCTAAATCCTACTACAAAAGAATCCCCATAACTTGCAGTAGTTTTAAATATTTCATTGTATTTCCATTACAAGTGAACTTCTCTGCATATACCATACATTCCACTGAATGGAATTCTCACTTGAGCACTGCTAGACTGCAAATTTTCTTTGATAGTGAACTTGGTTCTTTTTGGCGATAGGCTGCTACAAGAAGTTGTTTCTGTGCTGGCTTCGCTGCTCAGAGGAACTTTGCTGAGGTGATTCCTCTACTTTCTTAATATTCATCTTTGTCTCACAATTAGAAGGTGATGGTGGTCCTTGTTAAGAGGAATTTTACTATTCATGTGAAGCATTTAATATTTTCTCTATATTTTCCGTGATTTAAGAACTTAAGTGTATGTACGCCTGTGTTGATGATTAATTAGGGTAATACTGGTAGAGCAGACCGCTCTAGGTTACTCTGTTTGGTAGGAAGGAATTTTTTTTCCAAAAAAACTAAGCAAATGTTTGAACTTGATTGTGAATGGAGATCTGACTGCCCAAATCTCAATCGTGATATTTTTGGAGTACCCGTGGAAAACAAAGCAATGTGACAGGTACACGAGCCAATCAGAAGTCAGCACACAAGGGGAGAGAAGGGATTTCACCACGTTGAGGAATAACAACACAAGATGTGTGAGTAGGGATGACAACGGGTTGGGTTCAGTTTGGGTTTTAGTATATCCAAACCCAACCGACTTAGTTCAGGTTTAATTTTGGCGGGTTGGGTTCAAATTTTTTTTGTTCGGATTTGGATTTTTTAAGGTTCGGTAGGCTCGGGTTGGATTGTCATCTATATTCAATACTCCCTCCGTCCGGAATTAAACTACCCATTTTGACTTTTCCTCATTTTTAGTGAGTGTTGACTCTTACATTAAAATGTCTAAAATACCCTTTACATCTTCCTTGTTTNGTTCGTCTGCTACACAGTACACACTCTAATTAGTTAACTAGTTTGCTGTGGCTCAGTGCTGGTTCCAGAACCACGTTGAACTCCCTGAATCAGAATCATCTATTCAGGACCAAAATCACGGGCATCTTCCAGAAGATGCTTGCAGATATTCTTGACAGACTGTTTAATTACACTGATATGTGTCCAGGAGGGGGAAAACAATTCAGAAGAATTTGATGAAGAAGAAGCCCCCGAGATCACACAATGGGAAGCAATTTGGTGGCTTGCTATTTTGACCATATGGATTTCTGTATTATCTGGTTATCTTGTAGATGCTATTGAGGTAGAACATTCTTCTTTTTCTGCTTCATTTTTCTCTAAGAGTTGCTTAGTTTTTCAAATTTACTAAAATATTTCCTTTTTCTTTTATGCATTTCTTTTCCAAAGCTGTAACGTAGCTGTCATTGCTTATGTCTTGTGTATTTTTCTAATTCATTGTGAAATCTCAGTTCTGAAATTAAAAATTTTTCAATTTCAAATCATGGTCACCTCTTCTAATTATTAATTTGAATAGTACTACATATGCCCGCACTATAACTCTATTTTTACTGGATTCGTAAATGAAAAATTCTGATTGGCTCAGTGAGGGATCTGCAGTTTTTTCCTCTCCTTATACATCTTCCAATTAGTTCATGCCATATAAGGGAGTTTGTAGTCCACTTAGTTCACTTAAGCATGATTCTAACAAGTATCTTCTAGAAGAATTTGCTTTAGATGCTGTTCCACTTCACACTGAATCTTTCGTTTGATAAAATATTCAAATTTCAAGGGATTGCAGATGATTTCTTTTGTAACTTATCCTAACTGCTTACATGATTGTTTTTTTAAGGGAGCATCTGCCTCGATGAACATGCCTGTTGCTTTTATAAGCGTGATCTTGCTTCCAATTGTGGGGAATGCAGCAGAGCATGCAAGTGCGATAATGTTTGCGATGAAAGACAAGTTGGTGAGGCCTTTAGAATATCTCTTATATCCATCTTGCTGCTAATTTCTTACATTGTGAGTAATGAATATAATCTTTATGCAGGATATTACACTCGGAGTAGCAATTGGGTCATCCACTCAAATATCAATGTTTGTGGTAAGCCCGTAAGACCTTTAAGTCCACTTTAGTACTTGTTTTGCCCAACTGACTCCTTAGGGAACATCATCATCTTAATTGCTACTAAGTACTAACAAGTACTTGTGTTAGGTGATTTGGCTTTTATAGTGATAATTTTTCAAAATTAGTTGAGACTTTAAATTCATGAAAAAAACGTAGCGATAAAGTTTTACACCAGATAATTTTCATCTGTCAGCATTTGTGGCAAGAGGCTGTTTCCAGGACTTGAACCTGTGATGTAAAGATCACACAGCCACACCTTTATGGGTGCGCCAAGGTTCTCCTTGACAGATGAATAATGAAATGAATTGCTGAAACTGTCGGCATCATTGGGTACTCCCTCAATCATGCATTCAAGTCATGAAAGATCGAAACTGAGTACTTTAATCTGATTTCTTAAAAAGAATTGGGTTCGAAATTCTTGAAAAGGAGATACATCTACTCTCCCTCTTTAAATAAAAGTTGTTTTTTGTTTGCAGTGTCTAGGGTAGATCAGCTCCAAATACACTGGGCCAAACAAGCACTAACTACACACTTCTAGGCTTCTAGCTTTATTTGGAATGCCTTTAAGGAGATTGTACCATAAGGAGTTGAAATAAAGTTGAAACGTTTAATCTAGTAACTGTGAACTGATGAAGCTTGTCCCTTTGAAAATGCAGGTTCCATTCTGTGTGGTTGTGGGATGGTTCATGGGAAAGTCTATGGACTTGAACTTCCAACTCTTTGAGACTGCAACACTTTTTATTACAGTTCTAGTGGTGGCATTTATGCTACAGGTTTTGTTTTCCTCCATTTTCAAAGGACCCATCATCATCAATTCATCATAATCATTATCAGCACCTTAATCTCGACTTGTTCTGGTCGGTGACATTGTATTTATAGTGTCAATTAATTAATTTCATAAATATAATTAACACTATACATCAATGCATAGGGGCACTGTTTTTCGCTGGATGCCCTTGTCACACCCTTCTTAAGAAGGAATTTCATTTTTCTAGGAGCCCTTCAAATGCTGATGATGATTATATAATTTCCAATCCTAGTTCTTTTTGGTGACTTGTCTTATTTGATGCAGGAAGGGACATCAAATTACTTTAAAGGTTTGATGCTTATATTATGCTACCTCATTGTTGCTGCAAGCTTCTTTGTACATGTAGATCAACCAGACGGTGAGCCCTATTTTAACTACTTGCATGATTAGTCCATAAAATTTGACTTTCTATGTTTATATTGACGCTGCATTGATATTTTTTCTTCATACATTTTTCTGTGCTAACTCATTTGACACAACATTGCATACGAGGACTTCACATTGTTTGGATATCCTTTGCTTTATTTACTTATACTCCCTCCGTCCAGAATTAAACTACCCATTTTGACTTTTGCTCATTTTTAGTGAGTGTTGACTCTTACATTAAAATGTCTAAAATACCCTTTACATCTTCCTTGTTTTGGACCCCAGCCCCCACTATCCTGATACCACCATCCCTGCCCAAGCCTACCGCCGCCCACCACCATCTCTACCCAGCCCACCGCCGCCCACCACCATCTCTGCCCAACCCACCGCCACCCCACTTTTTTGGCATCGCTGCCCTATCCCCCGCTTCCCTAGTCGTCGCCGCCGCCTCACTACCGACTCCAGTACAGATCTATTAGATCTAGCTCCCACCATCGTTGTCTGCTCTACAATTGCAGTTAGCCCCACAGATCTAGAAGAAGAAGAAAAAAGAAGGACAAAGTCTAGATTTGAGAGAAGACGAAAGAAAAAGGAGGTTGAGGATGAGAAGAAGAAAACGAAGGAGAACGGGGAAGAGAGAGAGAGAGGGAGAGAGATGGAAAAGGAGAGGTAGAAGAAACGAAGAAGAAGAAGAAGAATAAAAGGGAGAAGAAAAAAAAGATGGGGGGAGTGGAATGGTCGATCGGGGCAGAGAAAAGAAAAGGGTAGGGATGATTGAGTAGAAGGAATAGAGGAGGAGAAAGAAGGGTATTTTTGAAAGAGTGAGAATAAAAGCGTAGAATGGGAAGATTATTTCCGGACGGAAAAAACAGTAGAGTGGGAAGATTATTTCCGGACGGAGGGAGTATCATATTAAGCATTTTAACAATATCATACCAGAAACATTTAGGCTAGAAACATCAAAACCATACCAGTTCTTTGAAAAAATATTATTAGATCACGTTTTATCGTATTTCAGTTTCATCATGTCTGATGGAGTCAAAGATTTACTATCTTTTAGCTTTGGAGCATAAGGGAATAAAGCAAAATGACTCTTTAAACTATATGTGCTTCTTTTGATAGTGAAATAGCAGTTAGTCAATGCAATTTTCGACTCTCATCATGGGTCATCTGGAAATAGCCGCTCTATGTCTTATACATAGTGGTCAGGCTGCGTACATCCAACCCCCCATTACCCCACAATGGGCGGGAGCCTTTGAGGCACTGGGGTAATGTTGTTGTCTATCATATTTCATTTTTTATTGTATTTTTCAAGTTATAGCTGTTATGATTACACATGCACACAACACACACACACAAGAGAATAATAAAGGTACAACCTAAAAAAGCCACACTAATATTAGGTTGAACCACGAGAGCAAGAGTATTTCAGAGTACATTAAATATTATTGCACCAGGCTCCACAACCTAACAAAAGCCACACTAAAATAATTCCTACAGTCTTTCTTCCATTTACCATTCAAGCTCTCCATGGCATCAACTAATATGTATGTCCTCTGTTTGCAGGTACAGAGTAATGCCGCTGCCACATCAGTTGAATGTTCTATTAAAAACAGCCCTCAGTCACTATGAAGCGTTGGATTTGAAACTGGCAGTTTGAAAAGCTCTGCAGTCACAAACACACACACACACACACCATTGGTTTTATACATCCGGCTATGTGTCCTATACATACAAACATATATGTATAGCTTTTAGACGCAATCCTTATATGTCAATGGTAGAAAGCAGGAGTCCCTGACAAATGTACGAACACGCACACAACACTCATTGGCCTGGCGAGTGGGTACTTTGCGGTTGCATTGCAAGGCCCTCTAACTCTTTTTTCTGAGTTAGAATATATTTTAGTTATCATTCAAAAGGCCATGCAAAGACGTTTTGTATTGTGAATATAATTTTTCTTTGATGGACGGTGTGCTTAGTTTACGTATCCGATTACTTCACTTTTGAAGAATGATTAATTAGTTTAACGTGTACTGTAAAAACCGCTCCCTACATCTCGAGTCAAGGCTCCACATTTGAACTGACACAATTGCCAAGAAAGTTAAGAATTGAGTGTTTAGGAGTTAAACATACGATGGAATCATATAATCATTTCAATGAATGTTAATGGGTAATGTCACAAAGATTACCAGTAACAAGATTTCGATGAACATTAAGGGTGTGTGCGCGCAATGGTGGGTGACAACAATGCTCAACAATGGGCGTCGAAGTTGTGGAGATGGACTTCTAATTGGCAGTAATGGAGTGATGGTTTCCAGGGGCAGTGGGGAGCGATGACTAGGGAAACAAGAGCCATGGCAAGGAGTAAATATTTTGCAGGTTACGTAATTTGTGTTGCCTAATTAGATTTAGTCATATTAACTTTGGTTCTTTTGACACCGATCCTTAGGTCGTATTATGACACTTGCCATTTTGGGGTCCTATGACACTCCATTGGATCTGAGACCAAAGGGAATTGGTTCAGCTATCCAAGTTTTGTGGGGTGTGGGGGAAATGCTTGATGCTACAAGGGGGCTGGGGGTCGATGGAGGGGAGAGATTAGGGGGTAGAATCCAGTCCATGTCCAACGGATCATCATAGGGTCCCGATGTCATATTTTGACACCAAGGAATGGTGTCAAAAGAACCATGTAGATCAATTCTAGTAGAGTCTTATTTAGGAAAATGAGTTGTGTTGCAATATTGTTTTATACAGAGTACAAACAAAGCTATCACTTGACACAACCAACAGGTGATTCAAGTGTCCTCTTCAGCTGATGTTTGCACTTTCATTGGACAGCCGTTGAGCAAGAAGCGACTCGTAATCCTAAACCCCCCCAAAAAAATGCATCAGTTTCCAGTGAGAACAAGAAAATTGAAAGGGTATTGTTGTGAAAGTTACTACCTTGACAATTGCTTGTGCACATAGCTTCCCAGATAGAACAGCGCCTTCCATTGAAGCCAAGTACTTCTGTTTCGTGTAGTCGCCTGCCAAGTAGAAACCAGAGATAGGCGACTTCTGCAAAGGACGACATGGCTCACATCCCGGCACTGTTTTGTACACCGACCTTATTTTTAAAAAAAGAAAAAAGAAAATTCAGATTGGTAAGGTTTATTGTAAACATGTCGAGACTAACGTGACATTTGACTAGACCTAACTTGATACATTAACCAAATAGATATCACTTTTTCCTTCATGGAAACAGCCTCTCTCCTACTATGGGTAGAGGTAAGGTCAACGTGTGGTTCCGTATCCTCCACAAACCATACCCTCCATGTGGGACTTGTTGGGTATGTTTGAATTGGTTTGGTTTGGTTTGGCATTAACGTTTTCAAAGTTAATCTGCACCATCGAAAAATTATCCAAATCTCTAATGATACATGTCTTGCCAAACATTACCTAAGAGCATTGTGCCAACATTGTATCTATCTAGCTAACTCTTCTAACCTTGGAGTTTTGACAACATGGTACTTCACTATTTTTGCTTTGCTCTGATCAGCTGAAATCTCATCAGGAAACAATTTGGATAGTTCCTGCATTGTGGCATCTATAATTTCGGAGTCGCTCCGCGAGATCCATTCCTCTGCAGGGGCAAACACCAATTCCAACATAGACTGATTTGGATTATAGTATTCCTGCGCGACAAAAGAGTAGATAGCATTGTCACATTAAAGATCGTTTGACACATCTTCTCAAGTCTCCAATCAATACCTTGCATGTCACCGACATGTCAGCATACACACTGAGAAGTTCACTTCTGCAGGAACATGAAAAGAAACAATAAATTTAGAATCCAAAGATGTCTACAAATACACACACACACACACACACATATATAAAATATAAAAGAAAGGGATAGCAATGGAAGAACGTCTGGAAAAGAAGTGAAATGCGACAAAGCAAAAAGAGTTGAATCAATATGGACCTGCTGAAAAGGAGATGATCATATGTGTTCTTCAGTTTTCTGTCAAACCTGTAATTATATTATTGAATTATTTTTTTGGGCCTACCGAAATCCATATTTCAAATATTCCAGTCAATGTTCATACAATTATCTTAGTCACATGAACAGATATGTACATTGTGCCATTCGTGCATGCGAATACAAGCATCTGTCAGAGAGAGAGAGAGAGATTAAGTTTGCAACTAACCATATATGGACATTTATTACGGGAACACCAACAAGTTTCTCCAACTTTTTGAAATATGGGATCTCTTTCCAGTCCTCAGGTAAAAGAAGCTTCAGGATATCAACTAATATAATGGTAGAGAATCAGTGACTGCAGAAACTTAAGGACTAAAGTCATGTAAAACTTGATCATTATACTCCCTCCGTCCAAATTTAGTTGTCCACTTCTCATATTTAGTAATGATGGATTACCTAAAATACCCTCTAGATAGCATATTAGCAATTTAGCATTGTTAATATCAATGAATGACAAACCTATTTAAATGACTTATTTGATACGGAGTATTTTACAATATTAGGTATTTCGAAGAGGGAACAACTAAAGCCAAACAAGAGTATATAGTTTTTAAAAATTGGGGGTCTCGTCCTAAAAGGTCAACTTTATAAGACGAGTAATCTAAGACCTTATATGTTGATTTGCATTTTTATATCTGGCAAATGTGAGATGAATTAATAATAAAAAATACCTAGATTATCAACTAAAATATTTAAAAAAATACCTGGTGTAGCAAACACAAAAGCATCTCCACGAACAATGGCTCCATTATTTAAAAGAAAATTATTCACACTTCCATCTTTATTCAACTGAACCTTCTTTATACGTGAATTAAGTCGAACTTGCCCACCACGTGACTCAATATGTTCAACAATCGGCAAGCAGAGTCTTTCAGGTGGATTTCCATCTAAAAATGCCATTTTTGAACCATGTTTCTCCTGTGCTTAATAATATATTAAAATGCTTAATACAAACTTGATACGTGTAAAGGACACATATAGCATCCCAATCTTATCCCTAAGCCCGGTTCCACCTCCCAAAATTAGGGTAGACCCATATACATATAAAGAAAAGTATTAGCCTTTTTTGGGTCAAAAATAAGTTTTTGAAGAGGATTTTTTTTTGTGGGGGGGGGGGAGGTTGGGGGGAGTAATAATTACTTTTGCAGCAGAGAATATGAGGAAAAAATGAGCGAGAGAGAGTGTGTGTGTGTCTTTGTAGAGATACTAAGGCCTGGGTCATCACATTCTTTCTAGGGATACTGACCTGAAGAAATCTGTTCAAAGCAATCAATATGCACTGCATGGACAATTCATCAGGATTAATGAAATTCAGTGCCTTTGACATGGCAATGAACACTTCATCAGTGACCCTGTCTGGTATCCCCTGAAAAGCAAACATTTAGCTGCTTGTCAATATCTCTCCTGTTGCCCTTACCTGGCCACAACATAAGACAACAATCCGAATAAACACTTGATGAATGTGTAAGTTTACGTGCCCGCTTTCTCATCCACTCCTCAACAGATACCCCATCTTGAGCTTCAACATAAGACTGTCCACCAAGCATTGCTGGCAAAAGACCAATAGCAAACTTCACTTTCTCAGACCACGTCAGCATCTCATTGTTCTTTAGGATGGCCCATATCCCTGCTAATAATATAGCAAATGCTCGAAACATAAAGTGATACATAATTTGTGCATTTTTTGTTTGGGAGTTAGGATTTTGGAGGGTTTTTTAAGAGGAGGGGATGGTAATCTTTTATTTTAAAATTAAGAGTATTATACGGAGTATATGTTTTATGATAATAAAACATAGACTTTATTAAATTGAAGAAAACTTGTAATCAGATTGGTAAAATGAATTGCTTTACATTTACAAAGCCATTGGTTGATAATTTTCATAAAGATCTCACCATTAAGTGGAGATGGTAAGGCTTCCAGGAAATCAAAGCGGCTGAACTCCCCTGGTTTGCTAGGCATTGCAAATATCATAGAGTGTTCTTTCCACTGCAAGCGATCATTGATGCCTAGTTCTCCAAACAGGTTCTGTATATTTGGGTAGGCCCCAACTTAAAACAGACACTCGTTTAACATAAGTAATTAATATAAGAATTGTTGTAATTAAAAAATTGTTAATCCACATGTATAACAATGAAATGTAGAACATTGTACGAGGAAAAAAAGTTAGAAATATGGAGTTCGATATGAGAAGTCCAGAGGGTTTTATATCCTTTCCACTTCCCTTCCCCCAGTCTCTAACCCCAACCAAACACGTCACTCTTCTACTCTTCTCTATTCCATTGAAAGGGGTTCATTTTCTTTGAATGAGGTGTGATGGATAAAATAAAAGGTTTATCAAACATTTACTTTGTGGGGTTCATTATCTCAAGCTTGACCCAAGCATGTCATAAATTAAGAAACAGGGGATGATTAGTGTGTTTCTACACACACACACACACGGAGAGAGAGAGAGAGAGAGAGAGAGATAGATAGAGAGAGAGAGAGAGAACCATCCCGACATCTATGAGCAGGTCAAAAAAGTTTACAACAGGATACCTTTATTAGATTGAATAAATTTATAAGAATACCTTTGTTGCAAACTGGTTCACAAAATCTTTGACCAACTTATTTTCAGAAGTATGTTAGTTTGTTTCCTGGTTTTTAGGATGGTTTTCTGTTCCTTTTCTTTAGGCAAAAGATCAGCCCATTAATGGATAGTGGATTACAGGTCAAATTTTTTGCTTAGTTAGTTTTATTTGTGAGGCTGTGAACCTATAAATGTATGCACTTATCATGTTTTTTCATCTTCTAGAATCATAATAGTTGCAGTAATAAAACATTGGTAGCTTGGTATCTGTTTTGACCATTCTTTTGCTGTGTTCCTCTCCCTACATATTTCAAGAAAACAAGACCGGTTTTATTTTATTCATTTTAGGAGTTTTATTCTGGTTCGAAGTTATTGCTGAGAAACCTAATAAGGTTAGGTTGAAATTAGTCTTTGATAACCCATGATTTGTAAGGGTTCTCTGTTATCTTATAATCTTATTATTGAGTTGTAATAAGACTCTATGAATAGTTTGATCTATCTCTAGTATTTCGGATCATTCAGAAATAAATAGATTATTACAACCTCTAGTGTTGGTCACTGAGAGTTATTGAGTGAGATTCTTGCTCAAATCCTTCGTAATAGATTATACTGTTTTCTTGTTCAATTACTCTTTGGTTCCTCTTTAGCCGTACTTGTGTGTTTGAGGGGGGTCTCTTGGAGACAGCCTCTCTACTTTCAGTTAGGGGTAAGGTCTACATACACACACACCCTTTCTAGACCCTAGTTTCTGTGGGATTTTACTGGTCGATTCTTGTTATTATGACTTTTAAACTTACAGAATATGTGTAAGCCAGTCTCGTACCAGTCCCCGTCATCGTCTTTCCATGCAGCTACCTACAAAATTAAAGACAGATGCTACATTCCAATTTGAAAAAAAATGAACATTCCAAGTGAATGTTATTTCACAACACTATGCAATTTGGTAACTCTAGTGATGTGTGCAATGATGCTATAAAAAATTCATAGATAGTTTGATACTCCCTCTGTCCCATAACTTTCTTATCTGTTTGACTTGACACGATTTTTAATGAAGTGGAACATGTGTGATTGTGGCTTGTTTAGAGGAAAGAGAAATGATATAGACCACACAACTTTTTCCTTCAAAGAAAAGAGGATGAAAATTTTGGGACAACCCAAAATAGGAAAGTAAGAAGACAATTATAGGGTGGAGGGAGTACGATTTAGGTTGACTTATAACAATTCTTATGTGTATCTTGATTGGTGAGCCACGAGAAAAGGAAAAGCAAGAGTGAGATGGATCTGAGATTCTCACCAACCTTACCACCTAGCACATCGCGTGCTTCCAGTAGTATTGGTTTGTGACCAGCATCTGCTAAATATTTTGCAGTAGATAACCCGGCCAAACCTGGAACCACTCAACATACCAAAAAGTTTTTTTAAAAAAACAAAATAAATAAATAAAACCATATCACCTCTCGGGATACAATTTTGAAAAAAAAACTTTGGATTCCTTATCTCCATCAAAGCTTTACTTATTCACAGACACACACACACAAAAAAAAAAACTTTTGTTGTTATTGTATGTTTATGTATAACTCAAGCACAATGAAAGGGAATAGTACTGCTAATATCATTATAGTTTGGCAGACATATACCTGCACCAGCAATAACAACCTCCAATGGTTTGGTTGGTCGAGGAGCAGAACGAAACGAAGATGACAAGTAAGCAGCTTCAACAAAGTTTACACTATTATCAAGCTCTGGCCGGGGATAGTCCACGCAAACTACCTATTTCATATACCAGGCCCCATTATATCTATTATCCGGATTTCTATAAGTAACAAAAAAACTTATGGATTTGAGTATAAAATCCAAATCAGACCTTCAAACGGCGAAACTCCCTCCCAGATCTGGTCATAACACCATTGTTTCTAGCTGGAAACCTCAACTTAGAGCCCATTGAATAGCTGTATCCAAATGATATGGGTAAGCTCCAAAGGGTAGCTGCCTTAACTTGTGTGCTCAAGTTAATACCAGAAACGACATGTCCGGGACAGGACATTTTTCCAAATGCTAAAACGTTATTACTTTGGGATCACTCGCACGTTTCTTCAAATGATATCAATTGAACACTGCTCCAACGCCTGTAATCTTACCGTGGAGTGTTAGTGACAAAAATAGGCGGATTTCAATAGAAATACATGTTTTTTTTCAAATCCCATACTCCAAAATCGCGTATTTAGAATTCCCCAATTCTAGACTTCCAAATTCAGATCTTTGGGGAACATCAATAATCTAGTCTAGAATTCAAATGTGAAACCCTTGGGTTTTGAGGCCATTTAGAAATACAAGCTCTGTACCTTGTTAGAGAAATTCAATAAGAATCAGTGCAGCAAAACCATTAAACACAGTGTAACTGCAGGAAAAAAAATCAGGGAAGCGACCAAGAGAAGTGTAAGATAAAATTACTATGAGATTTTGAAATTAGGCTGCAAATGAGATTTTGAAAAGACGGTACTGGAGCATTATTTACATGAAAAAGATGATACCTTAGCAGGGAAAGAACGTGGGAGAAGCCTGCAGATGAGATTTCGAAGTTAGGCAGTTCTCCATCAAATGGTGCGAAGAAGAAGATGAGTATAGACTATAGAGTAAAATTGGGTGCAAATTAGGCATGTAGCAGATGGTAAAAAATTAGTGGGTTGTTATCCACCGTTAATATAAAAAAGACTAATTGAGTGTAAATATTGTACTCTCTCAAGAGTCAAAACACTTTGAACTTTTATTTAGAATCTCCTGCATGCCCCCCTAACATACTAGTCATGAATTAAATTACTCCCTCCGTCCCAAATTATTTGTCACATTTGTATTCCCGAGACAAAATATCAAGTTTTTTCAATTCATTTTATTTATATATTGATACAGAAATAATAAATAAAATTTACATATAAAAAAACTACTTGAAAAGTTCTTCGAAATAAGAGGTGTCAAGAATATTTTATTTTATCAAATAACCAATGAAAACGTCGAAATAAACAAAAGTTCCCGCGACTGCTGAAAAAGCAAATGTTGTGAATATTTAGGGACGGAGGAAGTAAATCTTATTCTTTTAGCACCCCTTATCTTGTGAACTATGTTACGTCTGCCAACAATTATTTATTGTAAGTAGTTTAAGTAGGAGTGACAAAAAATACTATGAAATGCCGATCTACAATGCCAAATTTCAGGTATTTTATTGGGAAAATGCTAGGGGTACACCAAAAGTGTACCCCAAACATCCCCACCCCCTCCATCACCATACAAAAAAGGCAAGAAATTTTCAAAAAAAAAATTAAAATTAAAAACAAAATAAAATGAATGGTTAGTAGGAGGGTGGTGTACATTTGGGGTACACTTTTTGGTGTACCCCTAGCATATCCCATTTTATTGTCGCAAATCTTCTACCTACATACTTCCGATGGCCTATATATTTTCTTCCTCTTTGTTTTTTATGGTGTTTAATTTACTATTTTGAACACTAATATCTCTATTTATATACTATAAAAATATGATATTTTAAAATTTAATTTCAAAATAAATCTATTGGTATTTTAAACTTTAATTTCAATACACACACACACACACACATATATATAGTTTGGTTCCGGTGGAGAAAGGGATCTAATGAAAGAAATAAAAATAAATAATAGCCCTGGATCTTGATCTCATCCGATCCTTCTTCTATCTTTTCACAAGGGCATTTCAGGATTTTCCAACACACTATTATTATTGCCTTATCAGGTTCCTTTCTCCGGAAAATTTACATACTGTTTTCTCTCTTTTCAATTTCCGTTTTCTTTATGGCTATGGGATTCAATTATTGGATTGTGCCCAGTTTGGCATGCGGATCCATCCACGAATTCAGCATCACCTTTTGACTTTATCAAACAACATCCGATGGTTCTTCCGTCTCAATCTCGTATTTTACAAATTTCTTTTTTCTGATTCATAGATTACATAATATTTTACTAGATTTTCCAATTGGATTATTTGTATAATTAATTCCATTTTTGGTTTAACTTGGTTGTTTAATTTGTCACCAATTGTTTGATAACGTCAAGATGGATACTTCTATGAAATCGGGTAAGTTCTTGGATTTGTCACCATCTTTTGCAATCGCTGATTTTTATTCGAGAATTGGAAGTGGATTTGGTTTTTGAATTCACAAATAGTTTTTTCTTATCCATTCTTGAATTTTCTAACTTTGGATCGTGAATTATTACTTGTTTCATGTTGAATCATACTCATAATGTTCTCAATTTTGATTTGTTTTGATCAATTTTCAGTGGTATATGTGGATTTTATTCCCTCTATTGCTGCGAATTCATTTCTTTGCAAGGTTTTACTTCACATTTCTAATCCTTGAAAGTTTTTTTTTACTTTAAATTTAGATTTTTTTAAATTCTTTTTCGTATAGGTTTTTTTCAGGTAATGTCATTTCTATTTCCATTTAATGCACTCTTGGTTGTTGTTACCACACCCAACTACCATCTCTGTATTTATTGACTCTCTTCTTTAGCATGAATGCATATATAATATGTCTTAGTGCATATTAACATAATCTTATAGCATTATATTTTAGACTGTCCAAAATTGTGTTTTAGGTAATTTTAAAGTGAATGTATTTTGTATAATAAGTTTGATATTGCTCAACTTTTTGCATTGTAACTAGCAGAACTTTAATCTATATTGTGATCCCATATTAAGGTTTTTGATGCAATGTGATGCAAACTCCAACATACTCTGAGTGTAATATAAAATTCGCTTGAGTTTTTGTTATTGTGCATTATCACTATCTAGATAATGCATTTATCTGAGAAAGAAATGCATTCTAATAATAAAGGATAATGCATTCTCAGAATCGTAGTGAGCAAGATACACTAAATTAGCTTTGAACTTTTTTTCACACATCATAAAGTTTTGTTTTTAATTTGTATTTTTTATTTTATTGCATCCTTTATGCCCATATTTTGCATTATAAAAAGTGCAACAAAAACACTAATATTGATTTATTGAGCAAGGTACTTCTAACTACATATTATTCACTCTAGCTATGCATCACAGAATATTTAAGGTGTACTGTAATATGCTTTGCATTATTGTTAAATTTTAATGACTAAAGTATGGATTCCTTCAATTATGCATTTACATGATAACCCAGTGCATTATAGAAACAAGGTAAGGATAATGCATTCCATTACTCCGCATTCTTAGAATCAAAGTGAAATTCATCTATGAGATGGTGAAATTCTCCTAATAGAAATATGATGCATATGTTTATTCTATATAGTGAATTTTCTCCAAATAATGATGCATTTAAAATATTCTGTGATACATTTAAATATGAGTTAAAACCACATTGAATGATGCAATTTTTAAAAGATTAAAATGTGTATTTAATAGGTCCAAGGGCAAGATGAGTTTTTTTTTTGAAAAATAAATAGTTGCCTATTAGCTCAAATGGTAGAGCGGTATGTACTACAGATGTGGGTTCGAATCCTGCATAGACAAATTATTTCTCATATTTGTGTTACACTTGTTCTGAATACAATGCATTCTTAGGGTTTCTCATTACATACAAAATCACTCACGAGTTATTATTTACTAATTCAAAAATTAAAAGAATTAAATTAGAATAAAATCTAAAGGACAAATCACAATGCATATATCAGTCATTACAATGCATTCACTTTACATCTATCATCGTGGATAGCACAGTGCATCTCTCCACCATAGAATTTTCCAAGAAACAATTATTCATTATTGATTTTATTAAAGACAAACGGAAAAACAAAATATAAAGCCATTAATGAATAAGACAATATCAATTAATAATGAATACATCCCCCTCTTTTTAAGGAGCTAAAATCAGATGCACGATTTAATTGCTTTGAGTCATGAATACATCCCCCTCTTTTTAAGGAGCTAAAATCAGATGCACGATTTAATTGCTTTGAGTCAAATTGACCACAATGCCCCTATGCACTTAGTGTCTTCCTAATTTGATGGGAATGATTTATTACTTACCTTATCTACTCATCCATGCAGCAAGCCTTTAGATTTAATTTAGGCCTTTAGATTAGTCATATCAACGAATATAATTCATTCTCATTTCTTTCACTGAGGGTCATACTCACTTGAACCGGCCCATATATAGGGTTTGGTTCCTATGAGAAGGATGCTTGGTGAAAGAAATAAGAATAAATGATATACATTGATATTGCAAATCTAAGGACCCAAAATTGATATTAAAACTAGCGCCATTGCTTGATTAATATCGTAAAGAGCATCAATTTAGGAATAAAATAATTGTGTAGGGGCATTATTGTCCACATAAAAAACGTAAACATGGGGTTCCACTTTTTCAGCCGCAATTGGAGTTCCACTTTTGATGATTTTTCTCTTTTTTTTCCTTTTTAGTCGTATTAAAGGGTAGTTATATTACAATTTCTTTTTTTCTCATATTTTTAAATTTGTTAACATTTTTTCTTTTATTAAAACCAATTGTGACTAATTTTTTCTATTAAACTCTTTGTAATATTCTATTTTATTGCTTTATTTTAATACATTTCTCACAATGCAAGAAATTCTTTTATTTGCATTAAATTTTTCTGAAAGAAAATATTATGTGGTCGACAACTTTTTCTTTTGCATATTTAATCACCTATTTTTTAAATTTTTATCACTTTCTTTTTAAAAATTTGTATCAGTAAATTTTTCCTCACGTGATAATTTCTATCTCAATGCACCATTCTCATATATAATTGCAATACATACTGTAAATTATGCATGCATTGTTGAGTTATTGTTGTGGATTAGTGAATATTGACTCGTGAGTGACTTTGTATGTATGTGTTGAGAAAGTTTAAGAATGCATTGTACTCTATATTTAGAACAAGTGTAATAAAAAGTTTAGAAAATAATTTGCATATGCGGGATTCGAACCCACATCCGTAATACATACCGCTCTATCCTTTGAGCTAATAGGCAACGATTTATTTTTTCAAAGAGACTCTAATCTTGCACTCAGACCTATTGAAATGTAGTTTTATCTTTTAAAATTTGCACCATTCAATGTGTTACAAACTTTTTATTCAAATTTAACAGAGAACACTTTATAGCATCGTCATTTATAAAAAAAAATTACTTTGTAGAACATATAAGTGCATCATACTTGGGTCAGGAGAATTTCTATATCAGATGCATCAACTTTGATTATTAAAATGTACAACAGAATGCATTCATTTATCTTAATAATGATAATGTATTGCCTTTTCATAAAAATGCATTACTGTGATTCTGATGATGCACAATATCATTAAAAAACAAACCATTCAAAGGTAAAAACGATAAAAGAAAATGGATGAAGTAATCTAGACTTATTAAATAAGCATTTTTTATCTTTTAAAAATTACAACATTCAAATTGTTTCTAACCCATATTCAAGTTTATCACAAAATATTTTAAACATATTATTACTAGGAGAATTTCACTATCTCATAAATTAATTTTACTTTGATTCTAAAAGTTTGTATTAATAGAATGCATAATCCTTTACCTTGTTTCTAAGAATGCATTGTGTTATCATGTAAGTGCATTACATGCATTCCTGTAATGCACAATAGCACATACACATACTCATTATTCATTAAACTTTAATTAACAACAATGGAAAACATGTTACGATACACTTTAAATTCTCTGTGATGCATAGCTAGAGTGTACAATATATGCATTTTGAAGTATCTTACTCCATGAATCGATATTTGAGTTTTTACTACCACTCTTAAAATGCAATGTAATTTTTTGAAATCAAACATTTCATTTATTAAAGATATTGCAGTACATCATGCGGGGGGTCGGACCACCATTCATGGCACCCGTTAATTGACAATCTAGCAAGAGTGTGTGCAATCATATTTGAAAGTCTAGGGATATGACAAAAATTAACAAAACGGAAACAATATGTAAGATTTTAAATGCAATGTAATTTTAATGTGCTAAAAGCAATACAAAAATTTACATTAACAGAAACAAAGCCTTACATTTTCTTTGCAATACTGTGAAGTAAGAATGCATTACCTTGACTATGATAATGCACAGAACCTAAAAATTTGAGTACAAGAGAAGCAACAAAAAACATTGATTCAAGAGTTGGTATATATATTCATTAAAAAATACACATAACTTAAATATTAGAATAAATAAAGAAGCAAACAAAAGATTGTTTTCAAAATTATTTATGACAAGAATGCATAACCTTGTGTGAGACATCTGATTGTGTCCATATTCAGTTAATGGAAATGCATATTGAGGTTGTTTTGAAGCATTAAGAGATCCCTTGAGTGCATTAGGTCTGTCCTCGCCACCAATTTTTTTCATTTGATTCTTTAAGGCATTTTATCAAACACTTTGTATTCATCATAGTGCCTTGAACCAAAACTGAGCAAATAGACTAACAGCAACACAAAAAATAACCACGAAAGGAAACCAACAAAAAAATCACATAAAATCTCATATCTTTGGGAGTGTTTTTCCGATCTCAAACCTCAGAGAAATTTTGCACCACCTCAAGAAAAGCCATAAAATTAAAAAAAAACATGGGTTGATGATGAATTGATCAAGAAATTGAAAAGAAATTAGGAGAACAAAATTAGGAGAACAAACCTCAATTTCTGCTGCAAAGTTTGGCCTTTGATGAAGAAAAAAAGAGAATTGCTTTGCAGATGAAGAAACGGAAGCCATAGGAATCCTGCACAAATTTTAAGGAGACATAATAGGAAAGGTACGACTAAGAAGCAAAAATCCCAAAATGCCCCATATGTAAATCATAAAAATCATCTAGATGGATCAAGATCTAATGGCTATAAGGCATTCTTATTTCTTTCATTAGATCCCTTTCTCACCGGAACCAAACTATATATATATATATATATATATATATATATATATATATATATATATATATATATATATATATGTTTTGGTGAGAATGTGATCTTATGAAAGAAATAAGAATGAATCTGGTGCTTTATATTAACTTTATAAAGAGTCCAAGAATATAAAACACGCTCCAAAAATCGCCTGAGGGGAGTAAAAAGTAGGATGAACAGTGTGCGAGAACACTGTCAGACGCCAATTTTAGAGAGATAAGGAGCCACGTTGAAGCAATGAAGTTGACTCACATGTGAAATTCCAAAAATAACCCTGAAATTGCGTGGGAAAATGGAGATGAATTCTTTTTGCTTTGTACTAAACTCGTACCCGTGCGATGCACGGGCTGTTAATTTACATATATTTAGTCAATGTTTGGAATAATGGAAAATGTTACAAAACCGGAAAGATTACATAATTTAATATTATTCCCCAAAAGGGAATTTTATACAGTAATGAGCAAAGTCGATATTAAGTGTTAAAAGTTTTGGAACACTTCTTTATAAACTACATTCGTAGAGAAAGATACATTGCTAATATTTATCCTTCTAAATTTAGAATTTCATAACAAAAATCTCACATTCATTATAATCATTATATGCATACAAACATGGAAGATATGATGTTTTACTTAAAAAATTAACAATAAAAAGAATTGAATTTCTTTAATTGAATCTGAATTGAAAAATTAAATATGTGAAATTGACCCGTCAAAATTAAATCCATACCCGAGCTAAATTGTGTCGGAATTGAATATACTCAAACCCATCAACCCATTTAAGCCCCTTCTAAAAAACTTTTTTTTAACTAATCCACCAACCCAATTTTATAAACCCAGCCCACTACAACCCTTCAACCTAGCCCACTAATAAAACTTAATTATATTTTCTACCCTAGCTTCCCTACCAAAACCAAAACCCGAATCTCTCTCTCGGTCGCTCCCTTTCCGCCGTCGCCTGTCTCGCTCCCTCCCTCTCTATCTCTACGCCGTCGTTCAATGGATCTTCGTTTATGGATGTAAGATTCTTGTTTCGAACTTCATTTCTATGGATCTTTCTCTCTTTATCTATTTACGAATTCTTTCTTTCTCATAATTTATCAAATCTGTCAAAATATTTGTTTATCTTTTTTTTAAACAAAAATATTTGTTTATCTAATTAATGCACTATTATTTTTTTTATAATGATTAAAATTTAATACTCCCTCCGTCCACAAATAAATTTCCCTTTTGCTATTCATAGGGTCAAACTTTATTCAATTTGTTACCATATTTTCGTCATCCCTTTGATAAAATAATATAGTTATGTCAACTCTAGTTTTGTTACTTTTGTAAATCTTTTGATATAGTCTTTTAATAAGTAATTTTTATTTTTAAATTTTACACCAGTTTTCATATAAAATGATTTGAAAATAACTTCAGTCAAACATTATAACGCACAACGGAAAGTTTATTTGTGTACGGAAGGAGTATATAATATATAAAATACATTAAATATAAGAGACAACCCACCATCATTAGTAGCCCAAAATTCGTCCGGCCTAATTATTTTAAATGGCCCAGGAGTGAATTGATATATAAGGCCTTATTTCCTAACCCTAATACTCCTACACGTCCTTCTTTTCTTCCGCCGCTCCCCCACCATCTCTCTACCTCTCATCTCCGTTAATCTCCGTCTTATCTCCGTGTCGCCACTCTCCTACTATTTTCGGATCTGTCTCTAACATATCTCCCACCAACCGATTGTTTTTGGCGATGCATACATGTATGGTTTCATTTCCAACTTTGTTTTGTTCAACATCAAATTTTTGAACGATTTGGGCACAATTTTGATTTAATCTTATTTTCACTTAAACAAATCCAGTTTGTTTCATGTGATTTATTGTTTTTTGTTCATCGCATAAATATATCTTCCGATTTACATTACGAAATCTATATATATATATATATATATATATATATATATATAAAATTCCTATGGTGTTTTTATTTAAACTTTTAATTATATAATTCAATTTTTTAATCTCCTTTTGGATCTCGAATAAATTGTTTTTCATCATTTTTATCTAGGAAGAATAGATGTTTGTAGATATGGATATTAAGAGATATGTTAAGATTGTTAGATCTTCTCCTATTTTTGGATATGTTATATTTCGAGAGTAAGAATATATATATGTATATATATATATATACATATATATATATATACATACATACATACATACATACATACATACATACATACATACATACATACATACATACATACATACATACATACATACATACATACATATACACACACACACACACACATATATATGATTTTCTTGTGTTTGTGTGAGTCAGTGTGTGAATCTAGGAGATATATCTATGGGATATATTTTTATTTGAACAAATTTCTCCCAGCTCTTTTGCTTTTGTATATAGCAAGATAAGAAAAGATAAGATTTTCATAAATTTCAATTGTCAGTGTATGTGCGGTTTTATATACGGGACTGTGAAGATATTCTATGTTTATGAATACTGGTATTGTGATATTTAGGCTTTTAATGTGGGGCATTCAAACAAAATGAATGTCTATTGGCGTCGCGTAACAGATTTAAACATGTTGCTGCAGCCATGGATATTTCGATTCTTATATACAGGAGCAATGTTTCCTATAAATATATAGGAATATACATATACCTATATATGTATATAAATATATATTAATAGGCTTATATATGTATATTTCGTATATTCAGCTATATAAATAGTTGATGTATTTATAACCACATCAACTATAAATTTTATATATATATCTGGTTGCTCAATGAGAAATAAAAATTTTGAAATGCTGAATGAGAAATAGAAAAGTGGGAACCTGAGGATTTGTGATGTTGATGAATCAGAGAATGAACTATTATTTATACTATCCAGATTTGTAATTGGTATGGGATATAATTCACAATTGGTATTGGAGTAAAGCTCCCTTGTTTCGTATAAATACATGAGTTAGTAGAGGGGAGAGAATCTATTGCATTAAATGATCAAGTACTATAGGATTTGTTCAATCTAAAGAATTAAATGAGCCACAGTAAATTAGCCTCCTAAAAAGTAGTGAAAGGTGTTAAATTAACGTGCACACGCTACCCAAAAAAGTTATTTTCATCATTATCATCAAAGCCGAAAAAGTAGACCGCCACCAAACGCATGCACACGCTGCCCAATACCACCCACCCTTTAACAGCCCTATCGTCAGCCTAAATTATAGGCTTAATAAATGCCAGCAAACTCGAAATAGAAGCCCAACCAATTATCCAGCCCATCACGTCTGACCCGACCCATTAACTTTAGGCGGGAACACTGTTCATAAAATGCACCTAGCATTGTATATAGAAGGATATAGAAGATAGATAGATACACGGGCCTGGATTAATTTTTTTTGTTTTTACCCGCATAACCCTAAATCACTTATAGAGTTTTTTTTGGAATATTTAGATCGAGTTATTGATACGGAGTATACTGGTTGGAAAACCTGTATACCTTGGCCCAAATCTTTTTTGGAGTACACAATAAACATTATATTGTGCATGGGTTAAACTTTTTGGTAGGGGTGGACACGGTACGGTTCCGGTTCTGGTATCGCCATCCCTTGGTATCGGTATCGTGACCAGACCGGGCGGTACCGGTACCCGAACCGGTGGTTCCGGTACCAGACCGGCCGGTTTCGGCTACCCCAAATTTTTTTTTCTTTTTTTTTTAAAAACATTTTTAAAGTATAAAATTGTAAATTGGCAATTGTTAAAGGAAAGAATGAAATAAAAAATCTAAAAATATAGTTGTTATTTAAATATTTTAAAATGAGTAATACACGAACTGAAGAACAACTACATTTAATATCCTGATTCCTGACGGTTCAAAAAAAAGCGACGAGGTATAAAACCGTAAAGAAACCCTCGAAGGAGCTTATATATTGCTCGCCTAAAAAAACTAATTACATATTTACATTATTACATATCTACATTAACATAAAAAAAGTTTATAACTTATTCCTCAGAACTCGGACTTCCATCTGTGGTTGCATTCATGTAATGCTCCGAATTGAATTCGTACCCTGACTCTTGAGTTCGACGTCTTGCCAAGAGCCAATCTTGGTTCCAAACAAGTGTTTCAAGAGATTCAGCGTTAAGACAACTTCGGTAGTCGGTTAGAATGTTGCTGCCAGCACTGAATTCTCGTTCCACTGCTACGGTTGATACCGATACGAACAACACTTGTCTTGCTAGCATTCAGAGACATAGGAACATGTGTTCGTTCCGCTTCCACCATCCGAGGATGTCAAAGTCCACGTCGTCGTCGTCGTAATCGTATGGCACCCCTTGGTACATAGCAAGTTCGTTGTGCGAGCTTATGTTATACCACTTGAACTTGTCGAAGGCTGAGCACGCTTCCCTTTCTTTGCAAGAAGCCCACCGACTATTCCTTTAAAACTTTTTTTTGATTTGGGGGGCGGAGGAGGTGCTGTTTCTTCTGGTACAGTACCGTATAACCCTTGATATTCCTTAAACAAGTTCTCAAAAAGAGTTATAGCATTATCTCTTTCTTTTTTCCATTCTATTAAATGTCTGTAGTAATAACTATTTTCATCTAAAAAACAACTGTAGTAATAGTCAATTAGAATTTTAAAATTTTCAATCTTAAAGCGTGGATCACAAATAATACCTATTTTATAAATATCAGGAATGTAAAAATAATAAACACACCATTTATCTTTCATAGGAGAGACATAAGGGTACAATTCTTCATCAGCCAAACTTTCACGAAAACATGTTGCGATTGTAACACACTCTTTAAAAAATGTATTTGTAGTTGGTTGGTAAACATGCGAAAAATTAAGAGTTGCGTTATTAAAAACTTCTAATACGGCATTCAATTTTTCAACAATAACAAATTCAATAGGTGAAATGATTATACGAAGTTCATCCCTAAAAAATACTGCAAGTTCCTGTTTGTAGCTAAGAATCTGTGATATCAACTTGTAAGTACTATTCCATCTAATGTTGATATCTTTGGCAAATGCTATTTCTCTTCTACCCTTAGACTTACAGAATGTCTTCCAGGACCTCGAAATAAGACGACTACCCAAAATTTTTCTAATTCCTTCTTTAATATTCGTCAAACCCCCCCCATAGCTTCTAGTCCCTGTTGAACACATAAATTTAAAAATGACAGGCACACCGTTGATGCAGAAATATACACATAGTCGTAGTAGGGGGCAAATTTCTCTAAGTCTAGGAATAGCAGCAGTATTATTAGTAGCATTATCAAAACCAATTGCAAACACTTTATCAACTAAGTTGTATTCCCGCAGAATACTCTGAAGCAATAGAAAAATATTTTCAGCAGTATGAGAATCATTGAAATCACGAAATGCAAGAACACGTTAATGCATAATCCAATCACTATCTATCCAATGATAAGTAACACCCATATAAGACAAATTATGATATGTTTCACTCCAAATAGTAGAACAAATAGTAACATGAGAATTAAAATTGAGAAAAAAATTTGCCAAATTTATTTTTTCAAGTTTATACTGTCGAATAATTTCTCGTTTAATTGATTTTCATGAAAAACCTCTTGCTTGAGGGTTTAATGCCTGTTGACAATAATCAATAAATCCAAGTTTTTCAGAAAACATGTATGGCAAATTTTCTTTACAAATCATTTCGGTCATTTTTTGCTTATTTTTATCGTCGCTATAAGCAAAAAGGCCGCCCTTACCCCTGTTAGCAAACCGAGAAATTTGGGTTTGCACTTCTTGTCGTCCCTTCTTTTTCGCCGCGTATTTGGCGTACTCCACGGGATGCCTCGACCTTAGGTGTTTTTCCGGACCACCATAACCGCCGGAAACTCCCATTTTAATGACGGTGCCACAATAATTACAAGTTCCATAAACTATGCTATCTTTTGTATTTTTTTCAAAATGATAAACAAATAAATCTGATTTTAATTTTTTCTTTACCTTTGCCCGGACCTTGAGAGGTCTCGGGCTCACCTGCCTCCTCATCGACGTCGTTGCTATGCGGTGTAGGCTCCTTGCCCCCGTCCAGATTGTCCAGTCTTGCTTCATCAATATCCTCGAATAAACTATCAAGAGTGGGAAGATTCATGTCGCCTCTACCAGAAATGTACTGGTCGAATTCTTGATCCGTCAAAGCATCGCCGATGAGTTGATCGGGGATAGTAGGAAAGGAAGAGATCTTCCTCGAGAACCGCGTGAGGTCGAACCGTCGAAGGTGGCTTTAGCTTTGTCTTTCCTCAAACTTCGGTTCACGGAGCCCATATCCACGGACCTTCTACCGGACTCTCTCGACATTTTAATATATATATTTTTTTATGTTTTAAAAAATAATATATTAAAATTCGAAAATTTAATAAATTTTTGAAATTTTATACTCCCTCCGTCCCAAAAAGATTGGACGGTTTGACTTTTTGGAAAATTAAGGGAGGGATATTTTGGTATTGACTTTCCAAAAATACCCTTGATGTGATGGGTAAAAGTAGGATGTGATGGATAGATTATTAGAAAAAAGATATGATGTGATAGGTAGGGTATGAAAAAGTAAGGGGTAAAAGTGGTTTTTTAATAGAAATGTAACGGATTTTACGGGACACAGTTTTTTCTAAACGTAACAAACTTTTTGGGACGGAGGGAGTATATATTAAAATTTCAAATATTTCGAAAAGTAAAGAATATATTTAAAATATAAATTATATATTTAAATGATTTAAAGAATATATTAAAAAATTAATTATATATTAAATTTCGAAACTTTCGAAATTATAATATTAGTAATAAACTAAAAATATATGATAATTGATAATATGAATAATGAATGTATTAATTATAGGTTATTATGTAATATATTAATATATATTTATATTATTATATAAATATAAATTGTATAAAAATTGAAAAAAAATAATAAGATTGAGAGATTGAGATAATGAGAGAATGAGAGATGAATTGAGTATTTGAGTGAATTTTTTGAAAAAAATTGGATAATTTATAGGAATTTCACCCCTCCCCTTCCCCCTCCCCCTCCCCCTCCCCCACCTCAAATGGCTAAATAGTCGTTGAGGTGCCCCCACCCACTAATTTTTTTTGTTTGCAGGTTGTCGTTTGGGAAGAAGCCAAGGAAAAAATATTAAACCGGTACCGGAACCGGTACCGAAAATTTGGAACCGGAACCGGCGGAACGTCCCGGCCAGCGGTACCGTGTCCACCCCTACTTTTTGGAGTAAATGACACTTTTGTTTTTGAAAACAATAATGCTTGGACTTGGTTAGATTACTTAGGTTAATAATTAAAGTTTATCAATTTTGACTATAAAGAATAAAAAATAAACATATACTCTACAACTGAGGTAAAAGTATATTACTAATATACTGTATTTCATAAGTATACTAATGTAGTGCAATTCTCCCATGTCCCAAAAATATCCTTATTTCTTTTTTGGAATGTCTTAAAAAGCATCTTCTTTCTTTTTATAAAAAAATTAAAAAACTTTAAGTAGTTTGAAATCATCCTCTTTTTTCTCAAGAAATCACTCTAAATAAGAGTTGAATATAAAGAAAGTACAAATATGAGCTTCATATTTTTATCTCTAAAATAATAGGAGTTTGTACTATGTTAATGTAGTGTTGTATATGGACATTACAGAATATTTCTTGGTAATGTATATGGTCATGATTGACACTGTATGTGCATTTTAACTCATATTTCAGAAATAAAAATAAGAAGCTCCTATTTTGATTTTTTTTGTTTTACTCTTTCATCTTTTTTCCTTTGTGAGACATCTTAAAGGCATCTTATTTCCTTTTATGAAAAAATCAAGTAGTTCATATTCTTTCTCTTTTTTAATGTATCACTTTCAGTAATCCATTTTCACTTTCCTTAAACTTTGTGTTAATATTTTTCTTTGAGGCGAATGGAGTATATTACTCCGTATTATTTTTATACCGGTGGGCGTTGCTTAGCTAATTGAGGCTCATCCTTTTTTAAATTATTACTCTACATTTTTATAGGTGTCCGGTCGGCCCGCTCAAACATCATAATCCATACCCGGCCCTTATCACCTTTGGGCCTCCATAATTTATGGGATGAACCGGTCCACTCAATAAAAACTAATACCTCTGTCTTAGAGTATTTGTCTAATTTTTATTTTTTTCATTTAACCGCTTTTAACCTTTGACTTATAGTTAAATAAATTATATATTGTATTATATATTAATTAGATAAAATATATATAATAAGCCTAATAAAATTATTTTTGTATCAATATCTAATACTTCCTCCGTCCCTAAATATTCACAACATTTGCTTTTTCACCAGTCGCGGGAACTTTTGTTTATTTTGACGTTTTCATTGGTTATTTGATAAAATAAAATATTCTTGACACCTCTTATTTCGAAGAACTTTTCATGTAGTTTTTTGATATGTATTTTTTTTTATTTCTTTACCAATATGTAAATAAAATGAACTGAAAAAACTTGATATTTTGCCTCGGTAATAGAAATGTGACAAATAATTTGAGACGGGCGAAATATCATTTTTATTTAATTTGGGGTCAAAATTTACCATGTATGACCAAAAAAATTTAAAAGTAGACAATTACGGAGTACTTAGAAAGGGAATATTAGAGTCCAGGCTCGTTTTTCGGGACAGCCGGCTATATACGAGTTAGGCGGGTACCCGAGCTCATGATCGGGTCTACATGCAAAAGTCACCATTTGGCCACCATGCATGGATGCATGATCTTCCTAGACACGTGTCATCTTCCCACACCATCCCGTTTCTACAAGCACCACCTTTCATTTACAAATCAATCAAATTATTAAAGCATCCATTTGATATCTCTCGTCCATCTCAGATCTCTCTTTATCTCCGATAGATCCGATAGCTTGGCGAATGGCATCCGCGGTTGAGCGTCACGGCGGCGGCGGGGAGCAGACGCCGCCGGGGAAGGCGATGACGGTGGAGCAACACGCGGTGGACAAAAGCGCAATGGTCCTGCAATCTCTGGCCCCAATCAAAGGGATGAAGCAACATGTCTGCACTTTCGCACTCTGCAGCCGCGACTTGGGCCGGCAAATCGAGACCCACCACTACGTCAGCCGCCTCAACCACAATTTCCTCCAGTGCGCCGTCTACGATTCCGACGACTCCCGCGCCCGCCTCATCGGTGAACCCCGCCGTTTCAATTTTACTTGAATTATTGTTATATATACCCATATACTCTCTCCGATCCGCCATTTTAATTTTACTTGAAATTCATTATGATAAAATAAAATCATTATTGAAGTTTTTATTTCTATACTATGATGCATTAGTGTTTGTTTTTTTTTGTAGGGGTGGAGTATATTGTTTCTGAGAATATTTATGAGACTTTGCCCGAAGATGAACAAAAGTTGTGGCATTCTCATGCTTATGAGGTTTGCAATTTTAGATTATCCTTGAATTAAATTAAGAAATATTTGCACTAAATAGCACTACAAATATTTGCAATTTTAGATTATCCTTGAATTAAATTAAGAGAAAATTACGTAAATAACACTAAAACATAATAACTTTCTCTAAATAGCACCACATGTGTTTTTTTCCCAATGTAACACTTTTAGTCATTATCCATTAGTCATTATTCAAGTAAATGTTTCTCATCATAGGTCATTATTAACATTATTAAGTGCTATTTAGGGAATAAAACAATTTAAGTGATATTTAGAGAAATGACTTAAGTTTTAGTGTCATTTCGTGAAAATATTTCTTAAGTTAATGCATGATTAGGGTTTGCTCCAAAAGCTTATAAATTTAATTTCTTTCTGTTCGAAATGCAACATTTTGACCATACATACATGAGCAATGCTACATTCACAAACATGATACTTACAAACTTCACAAACTTACTATTTATAGTTTAACTTTTCATTTTAAAATTATTGTAGACTATTTAATTTTATTTATTGAAGTTCAAAATTAGTAAGTTTGTGAAGTTTGTAAATATTTTATTTGTGAACCAAGCATTATTTTACATGCATACATACATATATATTTCATACGGGAAATTTACTTAAATAGCACTAAAACAAAATGACTTTCTCTAAATAGCATCACATGTGTTTTTCTTCCCAAGCACTTTTAGTCATTATGCATTAGTCATTATTCAAGTGAATATTTGCCATCATTGGACATTATGGGCATTATTAAGTGCTATTTAGGGAATAAAACAAATTAAGTGCTATTTAGGGAAATGACTTATGTTTTAGTGCTATTTAGTGCAAATATTTCATATATATATATATATATATATATATATATATATATATATATATATATATGTATGTATGTATGTATATATATGTGTATATATATATATATATACATATATATATATATGGACCGTGTAAAATGACACCAGTTACTTATACACCAGTCGCTTACACCAGTTCGTTTGGGGTATCTACGGTGCCCCGTTTGTAAAAATAACGGTTCCTACCCCCCTAACCCTCCTCCTAAACCCCCCACCCCAGCCCCACCCTTGCCCCCCTACCCAGCCCCCCCTCCCTACCCACTGCCAGGGTAGGGAGGGGGGGCTGGGGTAGGGGGCAAGGGTGGGGCTGGGGTGGGGGGTTTATGGGGAGGGTTAGGGGGGGTAAGAACCGTCATTTCTACAAACGGGGCACCGTAGATACTCCAAACGAACTGGACTGGTGTAAGCAAATGACACCAGTAGCACTGGTGTCATTTTAGACTTACTCATATATATATATATATATATATATATATATATATATATATATATATATATATATATATATATATATATATATATATATATATAT